AGAAGTTAAAGAGTGAGGGCATTTGTCCGGATATCGTCACTTATAATATATTGATTGGTTCTTACTGTAAAGCAGACCTGTTTGAAGAGTGAGGGCATTTGTCCGGATATCGTCACTTATAAAACTGTATGATCACCTAATATTTTATTTTAAATATTATTTTAATATCTATATCTATATATATATATATAATTATTAGTCAAACATTTAATAAAATTTGTTATATGTATGTGTACGTAATATTTAAAATCATAAGTTAGATAATAACATATTACATTTTATAAATTTTATCATTAGTAAAAATGAACGAAAAACATTTACTTACATATTAATCTTTATATCGATTGCAGTTATACAAGTTTTGCAATCTTTTTTTTATTATGAATAAGTGATTAGATAAAACAATACTGAAATGATTATTATTATAGCAATTGTGTACAAAATTTTAAAAATTTTGGTTATATCATAAAAATTAAATAACTAATCTTAATAAAAAAAAACTTGCTTAATGAGTTTCAACAGAAAAATAATAATAATTTAAATAAATAGTTTGAAAAAAATTAAATTATAATATCATTTAATGTGATTTGTTAGTAGTAGTTGTTATAGAATAAAATAAATAAAAACTATAAATACTTAATTAATGCAAAGTAACGTCTTTTAGAGAGAAAAGTTTTGAGCTTTTATTAAATGTTTGACTAGTAATTATATATATATATATGTAGATATTAGAATAATATTTAAAATAAAATAATTAAATTTGATTTAATGTAAAAGTAAGAGAAATATATGTGGAATGATGATTAGTTAAAATTACGTGAGTAGATTAATAGAGAAATAAAGTTGATGTGATGTGTAATGATGATTGAATAGTATTTTTTTAATATATGAATAAATTTGAGGATAATGAAGTTGAATTAATTTTAAGTTAAATTTGAGTTATGATTAATTTTATACTTATGAATTTATATCCAATCACAACCTATATAATGTGGAGTGAAGAAAAAAATGACTTAAATTGTGTTAAAACTCGCTGTGCGTCGTACAAGACTCGGACGAGTTGACATTGTTAACTCAAAATCCAAATTTACAGACACATAAGAAACACAACTCGGTTTCCATCCGCGTCATCCCGAAAAGAACCAATCTCAGCCGTACGTTCATTCATATCAGCCAATGAGAAGCGTCAAAAGCGATCTCAAGGATCCACACATTTTAAACATTTTTTTTTTAATCACAAAACCGTTGCAGCCTAAAGCATAACTTTTCCAAGTTTAAAAACCGGCCCACTAACCCCACTCCCTATATATAAGGGCCTCCATCTCTAATTCAATCCTCATTGTAATACCTAATTTTCGCAAATTGAAGAAAAGCTCTCCGGCGAAGAAACCCTACTCGTTTGAAAATCGATGGCCCGTACTAAGCAAACCGCCCGCAAATCCACCGGTGGCAAAGCCCCGAGAAAGCAGCTCGCCACCAAGGTCCGTGGTTTTAATCGGCCTCTTTGTGCTTTCCTTTTTATTCGTTTTTTTTCTTAATCTGATCGATTGAGTTTCTGATCTGTTTAGATCTAGGGTTTGTTCTGTTTTACTTTTCCAATATCTGATTTTGGCTTTTGTTATCTTAAAGGCGGCGAGGAAGTCGGCTCCGACCACCGGAGGAGTAAAGAAGCCTCACCGTTACCGCCCTGGAACCGTCGCTCTCCGGTAAAGCCAACTTCTCGATTTTCTCTTCGTATGTGCTTTCTCCTCGATTTGGGGATATTGATTAATTTTTTCGATTTTGAACAGTGAAATCCGAAAGTACCAGAAGAGCACGGAGCTCCTGATCCGGAAGCTCCCTTTCCAGCGTCTGGTTCGTGAGATTGCGCAGGATTTCAAGACAGATCTGAGGTTTCAAAGCCACGCCGTCTTGGCTCTGCAGGAAGCGGCCGAGGCCTACCTCGTGGGTCTCTTCGAGGACACGAATCTGTGCGCTATTCACGCCAAGAGGGTCACGATTATGCCGAAGGACATCCAGTTGGCGAGGCGTATTCGAGGCGAGCGTGCTTGAGGTTGATGGATGATCGGATTTTGATTTTATGTGGTGCTAGAATAGTTAGGGATACCTTTGTTTGCGGACATTTCGTTCTTTATATTCTCTTGCTGTAAATTTTATAGACCATAATGACAATATTGTTTCTATAATTTCTAAGGTGTTTTTTTGTCCAATTCGTTCTTTATTTTCTCTTGCTGTCAATTTTACAGATCTTAATGGCGATATTGTTTCTATAAATTTTCTAAGGTGTTTTTTGTCCAATTGATTGACATCATGTGAGTCACATATATAATTCTGAACTTTGCTAATGAGGCAATAAATCGTTCTAAAGAATGAATATTTAGGGGATGTTTATAATGTACGTCATAAGATCATTCACAATGTATTGGGTTTATGACATTCACAATGTATTGGGTTTAATTTTTTAAGTCTTAAATGACTTGGACAAACTCAAGTAAAAAAATTCAAAAGTTATTCAATGCAAAAATAAAATATTAAGTCTAACATACATGCCAACCAATAAAACTACTTTAATATGCTTTCTTTATTACAAGAAATATTAAATTAAAAAAAATGATGAGTGTTTGGGTTTATACTTGAGTCTAAAATAGACTCAAGTATGGACACATAAGCTAGACCATGTCTACTTTTAATTGTATTGAGAGACATTATTTTATAGACTAGGTCTTTTTCTTACATGACATGTGATTTTTTGTTAAGAGACCCAAAGCATTGTGGGTGTGTAAAAAAAAAAAAAAAAAAAAGTAACAACATGTTGCACTCAAAAAAGTTGTAAGACCATCTCAATAAATTTGTGTTGAGCCTTGCCTGCCAGAAGATTGGGTTGTGCTAGACAATTAGAAGGTGGGTTGGGCTATAAGATTAGAGTGGCTCGCTCCCAAAGGGAGCCAATCGTACTTTGTTACTTGATTTATATCAACCTGCAAAAACTAAAAGGAAAAAGAAATTATTAAAACAAATATTGAAACAGGAAAACACGAATAAAAAAGGTGAACCAATAATAACCGCTATCAGTTGTAGGAAAAAAAAGCGGCCGAAGGAATAAGGAAGGGATGAAACTAGCAAAAGAAAACGAAAAACCGGCCGAAGGAATAAGGAAGGGATCAAATTAGCAAAAGAAAACGACCATATTAACATAAGCTCTCAACATAAGCAGTAATAAGGCAGGCATGGTGAAGGTCAACACGGACGGCAGCCACCTACAAAGTAATGGCCTGGTGATGTTATTCGGGATCATATGGAGAAATGGCTGAGTGGATTCTTGATGAATATTGGATTTTCACTTATAGGACTATTTCTAAAAACGGATCATTAGCAGGACCAAAAGCAAAATTGAAGTGACATAAGGGACGAAAAAACCTTTTTTGCCCAACTGTCATGTGCTTTAAAAAGTTCAAGCATACATATAATATCTTACAACAATAATGGGTGTATTAGTCAATTTTCATGAAGTGAACAAAGTTTTTTAACCATAATGGATAATTCAATAATTACTTATGAGAGAAGTCTAATGCTTGTTACAATGTAACTTTAGCACTAATCTACTGTTTGGTCAGAATTAACTGAGTTATTTCAAATGATTTTGTAGTAACATATAATGTGATTATAAATTAACACGTACTTAATTATAACAAAAATTCGATAATTTGATTTTAAATTAACACGTACTTAATTATAACAAAAATTCGATCAACTGTGCGGGAACAAACTAATTTAATATATATAGCAATTCAATAACTGTAATAGTGATTGCGATAAGAGTTAGCAAGTCTGTTTTGTTCCACTTCAATATATTTTTCGGCCACGCACTAGTTAAAATGATGACATTGTGATCATAGTGGAAGAGGAGCATGAGCGTCCAGCAACGCCCCGTCCGGACCAACCACATCATACTGTTGATCCGACCGGAGACGATGTTATGTCTGACGGTGAACAAAGTATTCGTCGGCACGAGCCGTGGTCGGAGGACTTGGGGTCACAATGACTCGGGGACGAGTGTCATGGCGAGTCAAGCCACCATATGTGCATGGACGAAGTTTCAGAATCGCATGTCCAGGACCTGGCGTAATATCTTCGACCCTCCCATTGTTAGACGTATAAATGAATATAATCACATGGAACGTTCAAGGGGCAGGTTCGCCCGTATTTCGGGATTCCTTTTCCTCCTTAGTGCAATAGTATACTCTCGATGTTGTCGCTCTCTTTGAACCTCGTGTTAGTGGGATACGTGCTGACAGATTTGTAAAATCTAGCAAGTTTGAGAATTCGTTTCGTATAGAATCTCAGGGTTTTTCCGAAGGCATTTGGCTCTTGTGGACAGACGAGGTACATGTGGACGTGTTGTCCTATACGAGACAATTCATCCATACTCGTGTGACTAAAGCTGACATGAGTAGCCTGGTTTCATTTATTTATGCTAGTCCACGGAACGCTATTCGTAAGAAGCTGTGGTTGGACTTAGAGCACCTGGGGTCTAATATAGCCGAACCGTGGTTAATAGGGGGAGATTTTAATTGTCTTATCCGCCGACCTGAGAAGCTAGAAGGGTCCGCTAGTTATTGTAATTTAAGCCAGGAGTTTGCTGACTGGATCTTTAACAATAACCTTTAGGAAGTCCCTACCGACGGGCACCTCTTCACCTGGTTTCGCGACGGGAACCTCTTCACCTAGTTTTGCGACGACCAGCATGGAAGAGTAGCAGAAAAACTTGATCGGTTCATAGCGAATATGGATCGGCTGGAGATGCATGAGTCGAGCCAATCCCGCCTCCTTCTGAGGGTCAACTCTGACCACTCGTCCATTATGGTGGACTTCGGTCGCGTGACTCAGCCAACGAAGGGGGTTAAACCATTTCGTTTCTTGGCTGCGTGGCTGACCCATCCAGGATTCACCGACATGTTGAAAGATGCGTGGCAGCCATCCCTTGGGTTCGGTGATGCAGTGAACCTCTTTGTGACATCGGCACAAGAGTGGAATTTTCGAGTGTTTGGAAATATCTTTCACCGTAAGAGAAAATTATTGGCTCGCCTTGGGGGTATTTAGCGGTGTCGCCAGTACTACATCAATAATAGATTGGTGGCACTTGAGAGAAGTCTCCGTGAAGAGTTGGAGGAAGTTATCCGACAAGAGGAGCTGCTACTGTTACAGAAATCCACTAGAGACTGGTCCTTTTTGGGCGACAGGAATACTTCCTTCTACCACACGCAACTTAAGTCCCGTAGACGTCGTTGTAGGATTACCGAGTTGAAGGACAACGAGGGTAACCAGGTTACCGATCCAGACGCCCTAAGGGCCTTAGCGACGGACTTTTTCAGGGCCATTTATACCGCAGGACCGACCCCATGCCAGAACGGGAATGCGACTAGTTTATTCCCGCCAGGCGGCGTGCATGAGATGAAGGCCATGACGGAGGATATCACTGACGAGGAGGTGTTTAGAGCCCTGCAGACCATGGGTGACCTAAAAGCCCCGGGTGTAGACGGTTTAAATGCTCTTTTTTACAGGAAGAATTGGGATACTGTCGGCCTGGCGATCTGCGGCCTCATTAGGCAGATGCGGCGTGATGGAGATGTTCCAGGCAAAGTGAATCGAACCTTGCTAATCTAAATTCGCAAAACTGAAAACGCTACCACTATTAAACACTTCCAGACCATTAGCTTGCTAAATGTGATATATAAAATTTTCACGAAAATTTTGGTAATTCGAATGAAGCGATCCTTGCCCGACCTGATTCATCCAGCCCAGGCAAGTTTTGTCCCGGGAAGGCAAATCACTGACAACATCATTGTGGCGCAAGAGCTTGTCCACTCTATGCGGGAGATGAGAGGTAGTAAATGTTTTATGGTCGTCAAAGTCGACCTTGAGAAGGCTTACGATTACCTTCGGTGGGACTTCATTAAGGACACGCTCCGACTAGCTGGATATCCTGATAAGCTGATTTCTACAGTAATGGCCAGCATCAAGTCGGCTTCGATGCAGTTGTTGTGGAGTGGGACGGTGGGAGAGGAGTTTCGGCCTACCAGAGGAATACGACAAGGGGATCCTATCTCCCCTTATCTATTTGTCCTCTGTATGGAGAGGCTCGCACAGACTATCACCGAGATGGTCAATCATTTAGTGTGGCGTCCGATCTCAGTAGGGAGAGGAGCCGTCCAGGTCCCTTTTTTGATGTTCGCTGATGACCTCCTCCTCTTTTTGGAAGCGTCGGTCGACCAAACGCTAATTTTAAAGCATGCACTGGTCCAATTTTGCTCTCTTTCGGGCCTTAAAGTAAATCTGGACAAAACTCAGGTATTCTCTAATAATGTGGAGCCTCCGGAACAGGCAAGTTTGGCCCAGAGGCTCAACTTCACCCTTACTAATAACCTGGGCAAGTATCTTGGGATACCGATTCTGCATGGGCGTGTGTCTACACATACGTACTCTCATATATTGGAAGAAACAGAGTCGCGGCTAGCCGGATGGCGGATGAAGACATTATCTCTAGCGGGGAGGGCTACACTCACTCAGTCAGTTCTGAACACGTTTCCATTCTATTCGATGCAATCCACTAAACTTCTTTGTGCGACCATTGCCGGTTTAGAAAAAAGGAGTCGGGCCTTTACTTGGGGAGGGACTAATGAACGAAAGAAACTCCATTTGATAGCATGGAAAGACGTTTGCGTACCGAAAGATGAGAGGGGCTTGGGGATCAAGGACCTACGACGGATGAATAGTGCGCTTCTTATGAAAGTGGGTTGGGGTGTACTTACGAATTCGAACGCACTGTGGGTGCGTGTATTGAGGGCAAAGTACGGATTAGATTTCGCGGGTAGCTTGGCGCTTCCTAGTGGACGGCAGACATCGGGTTTGATACGCGCCCTCCGATCAGTGTGGCCGGACCTATTGCGAGGTATTCGCTGGCTTCTCGGCAATGGTGAAATGGTTCGATTCTGGCTGGACCCTTGGCTCAGTACGTTGGGCCCGCTAGTTGAGTATTTGGGTCAGCAGCCGCAAGATATCAACCTACAGGCCCGGGTTAGCGATTACGTGGATGAGCATGGACGTTGGCAGTGGGACCGCTTCCATAATCTTCTACCTTCATCCGTCATCCTCCGTATAGCAGGCCATCTCCCGCCGACCGTGGTGGCTGGCGAAGACCGCATCATCTGGGGTTTTTCAGAGGACGGAAAAATCTCTACCAAGACACCCTATAAGGCCCTTGCTCGACCGGCGACTACCCCTGCCAGATCCTTGTGGAAAATTATTTGGCGAGCACCAGTCTTACAAAGAACTCAGACTTTTCTGTGGCTTACGGCCCGGGGCCGGCTTCTCACTAATGTGGAGCGCGTCCGTCGACACTTAGCGGCGGTGGAGGCGTGCGATTTCTGTGGTGAGAGTGAAACGATTATTCATGTGTTGCGTGATTGTGCGTATGTCAAACCTTTATGGGACAAGCTTAATCCAGGTGACCAGGCTGGAGAGTTCTATCAAGCTCCCCTCACGCGGTGGCTGAAAACAAACTTAGTGCGACTTCGGATGGGCGCGACCACCTATTGGAATAGTCTCTTCCCTATTGTGATATGGTGTGCATGGAAATGACGGAACGAACGAGTGTTTAACCGAAAAACGTGTAGTAGCGAAGCTTGGAGAATGGAGGTTGTGAACTTTGCGGAGAATTATGTGCGTGCAATAGCAGCTTATTCGAAGGTTGGAGCCGTCTCGCATACCACACGGTGGATATTTTGGACTCCGCCGGAGTCTGGTTGGATTAAAGTAAACACTGACGGTGCTTTCGATAATCTCACGGGCTTGGGGTGTGCGGGCGGTCTGTTACGAAACGAGTTAGGCGGATGGATCCAGGGGTTTCTTTTGAATATTGGATTTTGCACCATTACGGGTGCAGAACTCTGGGGCCTATTTCAGGGACTACAGTTGGCCTGAGACATGGGTTATTGCCAAATTATTGCGGAAGTTGATAGCCAGTGCGTGACAAAAATGGTGTTGAGGCCCGATGGTTCTTTTGGAACCCATGACGTGCTGGTCAAGGCTATACGTAGTCTGTTGCAACGAGAGTGGAACATGCGTCTCCAGCATATACACAGAGAAGCTAATTTTGTAGCGGACCACTTAGCGAGCTTGGCAGCTTCTTCTCCAATTGGCTTGCAGTGACTGTATTCGTTTCCGATCGGATTGAGCACTTAGCTCGATCATGACATTATTGGGGTGTCGTATCCCGACGTGTTCTAGCTCCATATTTTACTAGGCCTCGGCCTGAAAAAATAATGATGACATTGTAGCATAAAGATGGTGATTTGACAATAGTGTGAAAAATTCACCACAATTCTTAAAGCACCTCCATAAAAGGGTACATCTATCTTATATCATACATGTTCTTGATCGATCCATTTTAAAGAGAGACTGCAAAATTGTGTTCCAGTTTATTTTTTATTTCATTAAATGAATGACAAGTATTTACAACATTATACAAGTGTCATTCATCTTAATAAGAAAGAAATATACATTGTGACGTCGAATAGAAAATCTTTTCGCAAAAAGAGACATGAAACGAAATTGAGGATAATGAAACGAAAGATTTTATTATTTTACTTTACAACACAAACAAATACTGCACGAATTAATTTTCAAAAAAACTTTCAATATTACAAATAGAAGTCTAAAATCATTTAATGTGTATATCTTTTCGCAAGAAGAGACATGAAACGAAATTGAGGATAATGAAAGATTTTATTATTTTACTTTAGAAAAAATATCATGGCAATGTTTGATTTTAAAAATATATTATACACAAACCAATACTGCACGAATTAATTTTCAAACCTAAACTTTCAATATTATAAATAGAAATCTAAAATCATTAATATCATAGACACCTAACATTTAAATTGGAATTTTCTAAAAAGTAAATTTAAAAATAACCCAAAATTAATAACTTCGTGAGGGATTTAAAAGTAGCCCAAAATTAATATCTTATATTACAAATAGAAGTCTAAAATCATTAATATCACAGACACCTAACATTTAAATTGGAATTTTCTAAAAGGTAAATTTAAAAATAACCCAAAATTATTATCTTCGTGAGTGATTTAAAAGTAGCCCAAAGTGATTTATAAAGACAAATAAAACGAATTGGAATTGAGTCAGAAAAAACAAAAAAAAACAAAAAACACAACTTTGTACCCTTTTATTCCCAAACCATGCAAATCATCTTCTTCGATGAATTTGAATACGAAGAACCATACCTCTAAATTAAACAAACCACTTACTTGGAAATCTTAATATGAAAAAACCCTAGAAACACTCGAATTAATATTAATAAACTAACAGCAAATATCCAGAAACCAACAACTTATTATATATAATAATATAGATGCAATCAACCAGTCGGCAGCCGCCACCTAAGCGCGCTCTCCACGTATGCGCCTTGCCAGCTGGACGTCCTTTGGCATGATTGTAACCCTCTTCGCATGAATGGCACACAAATTCGTGTCCTCAAACAGCCCCACCAAGTAAGCCTCCGCCGATTCCTGTAGCGCCAGCACCGCGTGGCTTTGGAACCTCAAATCGGACTTGAAATCCTGCGCAATCTCACGAACCAAACGCTGGAAAGGCAACTTCCGGATAAGGAGCTCCGTGCTCTTCTGGTATTTCCGTATTTCACTGTTCCGATCCACAAATTTTAATAAATTAAAAATAAATAAGAAAAATTAATTGGAAATCGGAGGCTAGGGTTTGTAGATTTTACCGGAGGGCGACTGTGCCTGGACGGTAGCGGTGGGGCTTCTTCACGCCGCCGGTGGTGGGGACGGACTTCCGAACGTACTGATTCATAAATCCAAGCACAGAATTAGGAAATTATCCAGAAAACCATCGGAAATACTACAATTGGGGATGGATTGGGGTTTGAAAACGAGAAAATTAAATTATCTAAAAAGGTAAATTGATTAGAATAAAATAATCAGAACGGGAAAATGAGAAAAACAAAATCGAGGTTGAAGAACCTTGGTGGCCAAGCTCTTGCGAGGGGCGACGCCGCCGGTGGACTTACGAGCTGTTTGCTTCGTTCGCGCCATTTTGGTGAGAGATGATTTGTTTATGGATGTGTGTGCATGTGGATTGCGGTTGTGTGGGTTTATATAGAGAGCGAAAGGTGTGAAACGTGGGCTTTTTGGGTATTTTGGGCTGGGTTGTAACCGTTTGCTTAATTTGGGTAAAATAGGTGGGCCCTGGTTGTGGTGTCCATTTCAACGGCTTCGATTGGGTGAGTTGTTTAGATGTTTTGATCTGATTGGCTGATCTTTTAGTTATAAGGATTGGGAAAGGGATTTGTGCTTCTTTTGTCTCTTAATTCTAGAGGTTTAACATAAAACAAAGGCCACGTAGATTAATGAATAAGGATGAAAATAGTAGACTAGTCTACTAGTTATATCATTATTATTATATTATTATATTATTATTATTAGCAAGTCATTAAATAAAACTTAATAAAATTCATCTATGCAAATCATTAAATAAAATTTAATAATTTTTGCCACTAATTCACCATATCCCATTAATGATAAAATATTTTATTAGTTTTATTTAGTTAATTAAGACAAAAAATGTTACATTTTATATTAATTGAGTAATAATTATATTTATAATTGAGTCATATAATAGTTATTATACAATTAGTAATTATATTTACACTAAATGATAAATGAAAGTTATACAAACATAAAAGATTATATCGAAAAAACTTTTTGTTCAAGTTACTTATTCTAAATTTAATATTATATTTTTTTATCTGATAAAGCGATTGTTTTTTAAATAAATTAATTTTTTTAATGTCATCGTAAAATTTCTTTTAATCGCATAAGCAATTGTTATAATAAATTTAGTATTTTTCAGCTAATTAATTGGTCATAATTCCTCAAAATTACAAAAATTACATTATTGATTACATTTTATACAATCAATATAGTGATCAAATCGTTATTTACTATTTATTTTAACTAATGATCAAATATTAAAACATAATACTATTATTAACGTATAATTTAAATATTATATGAAAAAATATTACTTATAATACTCTACATTTAAAATATAATACTATTATCTAACTTATAATTTTAACATTATATGCATATAAATAATTTATAATATTTATTTAGCAAATACAAAGTGCCGAGTGTCAACTACTAATTATCATTATTGCAGACGTATCAATAATTAATCAATTAACCACATAAATTGTAAAACTTAACCATCCAAGTCTGGGGACGTGGTGGGGATCAATATAAATTTTATAATTCAATAAATAATTAATTTATAAATTATAATAATTAACATTAAGGATTATTTAAGTTGACCAACTAATCATGAATTCTAATAAATTAGATAATAAAGTGGACATCTTTTTCACCTAATTATATATAACTATTCTTTCTTTTTCACCCCATCAAATAACTTCTTGCTCACCTCAAAATGAACCAAATGTTATGCGCTATTTTAATTGCATATCTAAATGAACCGCATAATTAATAATTATGCGAAAGACTTTTGCGTATTTCGTAATCGCATATTTAAATTAACTGTACATGCAAAATAATGTTGAGGTTTCGTCGCAACAACGCATATCCTAATCAGACACATACCTGCCAATTAGTGAAAGACTTTCACATATTTTTAATTGCATATTTAAATCAACCGCATAATTTACGATATGCGAAAATTTTTATATATTTAGTTGTTGCATATCCAAATCGAACGTTGTATAATTTACGATTATGCAATATCTTTTCGCATATTTTACGACTTTGCACACAAGTCAGATTCCACCATCTCTCCCTCGAGCATGACAACCTCATCCTCATAAAGCGTGGTGCAATGGATGTTGTAGTACAAGCCCAACCGCTCAACCTTTCGGGTCAAGACCTTCTAATTAAACATATGCGACTTCATAGTGACCCCTCTTGGATCCTCCTCAGAACCCAGCTAATGCCAAGAGTCTTACAGACGTCCATAGCAGTTAAAGCCATAGACCCTCCACGACCATCTTCACCCGCCTCGGCCAAGAGACGGTCAACGTACTCCAATCTTGCTTTCAGGCGTGACACTATCTTACCTGAATTAACAATTAATTATATGTAACAAATTTGAATCTAATTTATGCACGCATTACGATCCACCCTTTCCAAATTAAATTAGTATAATATCATCATACAATTGAAAAAAACCCTTTTGCGGGTGTTTTTGTATCCTAGATGGAGTTTTTACTAGGATTGATAATTTTTTACCAAAAACTAAAAACCGAACCGAGCCGGCAAGAAAATAAACTGAATCGAACTGGCTCGTTTATAACGGTAACCGATTATCGATTATCGAATTGATATCGGTTCGATATCGGTTCCAAACCCATAAAGGCCCGGTAAAACCAAACTGAACCGGTAAGGATTAAAAAAAATATTCGTTTCTATTTTAAAATAATATAGCCATTTAAGTTACTTAAGTAGCTTTTAGTTAAATATTAGCAAATTAAATACTTAAATTAGTTAAATAAAATAATAAATTAGGCTACGATAATACATAACTTAATTAATCAGTCTTATACAAACTTGATGTCACATTATTAGACTGAACTCAGAGAATAGAAAAAATAAAAATAAATAAAATTATATATCAACCCCTCACAGCCTCACACATCCAATGAAAAAATTGCAATTAAAGCCTAATTTTTTTGTCAATCAATGTCTCATACATGTAATTAGTTATTACTAATTAGAAATGTTTTTGTACTTGCCATAATATTTCCACCATGTTTTTTCTCTTAATCTCGCTCCTTTCTTTATTTCTTTCTTTCTGCATTGTTAATTTAACAAAAACCGCGAAATCGGAAAAACAAATAAAATAAAACTAAACTTAAAAAACAAAATTTTCTCCTTTCATCCCTTCTTTATTTCTTACTAATTAGAACAATGTTGTTTTTCCTATCGGTTTTCGGTATTCTATCGGTAAAAAACCGAAACTGAACCGTCTTTCTGGTAACCGAAAATCGGTTTGGTTTCAGATTTGCAATTTAGTATTACCGAACATATCGGTTCGGTATCGATTTTTTCTTATCGGTTCGGTTACCAAATCGATATCAGCCCTAGTTTTACCCTTTGGACACATGTGTAGTTCTAAGTAGGTAAGTTCAGATTTTCTGGTTCCGTTAGTATCAGTTGACAATTCAAATATATTTTTTGAGTTTTTCCATTTTTAATATNCGATCTCTTCTCCATTTTCCTATTACTTTTCCATTTTTCTTTTCTTTCTCGCCGTCATTTTCTTTCCCCTTATTTCTCTTCTCCTCTTCTTCATCTCTCTTAATCGATCTGCAGCTCTCTCCAATTCCAATAACAAAATCGAAATCGAACCAACCCACTCAAAAATCTTCCTCCCATTTTTCTCTTTGTCGGCAGCCCACGCAACATCAACCTCGGCGGTCGCAAGCGGCGGCGCGACGATCGGGCCTTCAACGACTGACGGCCGGCTATGGAACTCGAGAATCGATGGGCTCTGACTGTGGATGTTTGAGCATCGTCGGCTTAGGGAGCGGTGATTGAGCTTCTAATCGACGGCCTTCGGTGGAGGTCAGATCGAAAAGCGGGATCTGCATCGGAGAAAGAAAATTCGGCCCGGCTGCAATTGGGACGCGCGATTTGTGCAACAGTGGTAGCTGGCGTCAAATCTTTTTTTTTTTNTCTGGAAATAAAGCCATCAAAAAATAAATATAAAAAATCCATTTTTTTTCTCTGCATCAGATCATATGGCGTCGACCCACTGCGTATTCAACCTAACAAACCAATTCTGACCGAACATCTTCATCAAAATTCTTTTCATTTGATCAACATCCACATGAATTCATCAACAATTGGGGGAATCGAAATGAAGAAGGAAGAGAGCGGCAGATTTTTGGGGAAAATCGCGAGAAAACGCCGAGCAGAATCGCGCGCGGCGAAGTTTTCTATTCTTTTTCTTTTTTCTGATTCATCGGGCCTGAGATTGGGAGTATTATCTGTTAATAGGCTTTAACGTGGACTCTTACGTGTACAATGGCGTGTCACCGAGTATAATTTTTTTTTGCCACGTCAATATTCTATTTCCATGTCAGATTTCCGATATGTCACCTCAGCATTGATTCACCGGAATCTTCTGTCGAGACACAATTGCAAAACTTTAGAAAGGTCATGTATTTTTATGCCAAATTGAAAAGTGAAGTTTTATTTGCAATATTAGTAAAAGTTGAGTTTTTAATTGCAACTAGTTTTTCTCCCGTGCATTTGCACAGAAAACTATATGATGCATGAAAAAATAATAAAAATTATAAACAATAGTAAAAATTATAACAAATTCATTGAAAAAAATTAAGAAAAAAAAATATAAATATTCTTAAACACTTCTTTATAAAACAACGTCGTGGTTTTTGTATCGTCAAAATCTCCCTCAGCTTAAATCAAAATCTTCAAACCCGATTGACTCGTAACTCTAAAAAGCGCCACGTATAATTGTTCATGACTAAATACAGGGCTCTTCAGTAGTAAGCCGACGTGCGACAGAGACTGTCTTTGACTCTTATTGATCATGTCATAGCATAGGAAACACTTCTTTTATATTGTTTGTCCTTGACTCTTATTGATTGATAGAGATTGTCCTTGCTTCTTAATAAAAAAAATACCATTTAAATATAAATGAGTAAATATAATATTAATTTTTAATATAAACAAAAAATTTAGAGTAATTGATAATGAGTATAGAATTACCCTTGCGGATTCAAGTTATTTCAACGATGTTCTTTTTATATATCTAAGATTTAATTTTTTTTTCTAATTTATATGAATATAAGCACATTTGACTAAGTTTTATAAAATTTATTGAAAAAAGTTACTATTTTTTTGAAAAACTGATAAGATATTAAGATAATACAGTACTTAACATAAATGTGGGATTAATTAAAATAAATCTTTTTAATTTAGTCATTAACAAATTAAATTTAACTATAAAAAACCTTCTTAAATGTGAGATTAATGAGTAATTAATTAAAAAAATGTAACTCCTTTTAAAGGGAAAGTGAAAATATTTTTATTAAATGTTTTATTAAATGGGATTAGCTAGCAATTATATATATATATATATAGATTAACCCTAAAATAAAATAAGCAAACCTCTTGGGTTGTCAAGAGGGCACAAAGGTCATTTCACCTTGAATCATAAAAGAAACAAGGCCACCACGTCTATTGGATAATAATTGAAGCCTAACCATTGACGACTGATTGTTTATCTTTATTCATCTCTCTATCAGCAGAGGCTCGCGCGAGAAAGGAAACAAAAAATCATCAGATCCGATCTCTTGCATCTCTGCAGACCATCCACAAGATGTCGTCAACCTTCAGCGGCGATGAAACGGCACCGTTCTTCGGCTTCCTTGGCGCCGCCGCCGCTCTAGTCTTCTCCTGTAAGCCGTGCGCCGCCTAGATCCGATCCACACTTCCCTTTTCAGATCTAAACTTGTTCTGTTTCCTTCTTTCAGGTATGGGAGCGGCGTACGGCACCGCCAAGAGCGGCGTCGGCGTTGCGTCGATGGGCGTGATGAGACCCGAGCTCGTGATGAAGTCTATTGTCCCGGTGGTCATGGCTGGTGTATTGGGTATTTACGGCTTGATCATTGCCGTGATTATCAGCACTGGAATCAACCCCAAGGCCAAGTCTTACTACTTGTTTGATGGGTACGCGCACCTTTCGTCTGGGCTCGCTTGTGGTCTTGCCGGTCTTGCTGCTGGTATGGCCATCGGGATTGTTGGAGATGCTGGTGTTAGGTAATTTCTGTGCGACTACCTGGATGCTGAATTGATTTTGAGAAGTTTAGCATGATTTTGAGAAATTTTTAGCAATGGTGATGAAGTATTTTGATTTATTTGTTAGCTTTTGAATTGGATTAGGATGGGACTGATGAGTTATGATATTGTCAAGGTATATATGCTTTCTGTGGTTGTTTTGATATATTGGTGGGTGACTTGTTGATGATTTTCTCATTTGGATAGTTTTTTAGGAGTGAACTTTTACTTGATAATTGGTTCATAGTTATTATTATCTGCCCGGAGTTGAGTAACTCTATCCGGTGTTATTGTATAATATAATTGTGGGACCTTTGTAAAATTGTTGAGTAGTTTCACATATGTAGAATGTACTATGCATTGGATCATGCACTCGAGGCTTCTAATATAACCAAATTCATAGTATCCATATATCAATGGATTTGTACATTTGCCTATTTGTGATCTTCAATTGAGGATTTTGCATCATACCACATTAGATTTATTCGTATCACTAGGTCCATCTTTTGTTCTTTAGATTTCGGGCATTTTTGTGTGACATCTTCCTTTTCAGCTCCCGTGTTTTGTTATGTCCGTTGGATTTTTTATTCTGAGGTCTGTTAAAGCTTATATGGAACTATAAGATTGGATCTTGGCCTTTTGTAAGGCATTGTGTAACTCTAGAACGATTGTGACCATAGATACTATGCAACTAGAGATAGGCTTTTCTTTATGGAACTCTAAATTGGAATATACCCTAAGCATTGTACAACTAGAATGGCTTTTCTTCTGTAATGTAAAATATGAAGGGAAGAGAAGTGTTAAATGTTTATTATTTTGTCATTCTGTAATGACCCGCATGTTTCCTCCCTACTTTATCTTTTTCCCAAACTTTTGTTTAAATTTTTACTTATTTATTATTTTTTATTTAATTCTTCCTTTCAAGTATTTGGGTAGGGCAATTTATGGATCAAGATTGATTTCAATTTATATTATACCATAGTTATGCATTTTTCAAAATCCTTTTTGATTTCACCTTCTTAAATTGGCTCCAATGATTTAGTATAAATACACTTCATCCTATGACTTCTTTTCACTCACAATCCATCCTAGAGGTAAATATTTTTCCTCATCTTCTTTCTTTCTTTCATTATGTTTATCATTCTTCTTCGACACTGTCCCCAGCCATTGGCCGTTATTCTACCACCGTCGGACCGCCCTTGTCGGTGGCAAAATAACGGCGCATGGCCAGGGACGATGTCGAAGAAGAATGATAAACATAAAGAAAGAAAGAAAAAAAGAAGATGAGGAAAAATGTATTTATACTAAGGCCAATTTAAGAAGGTGAAATCAAAAGGGATTTTGAAAGATGCATAACTATGGTATAATATAAATTGAAATCAATCTTGATCCATAAATTGATCTACCTAAAATACTTGAAAGGAAGAATTAAATAAAAATTTATAAATAAGTAAAAATTAAATCTAAAGTTTGGGAAAAAGCTAAAGTAGGGAGAAAACATGCGGTTCATTACACTTTCTCCCTTGCTTGCAAGAAAGATTCTTTGTCATTCACCCGTTATTGATTAAAAACTGTCATTGAGATAGTAACTTTATTGTATTGTGTCAGGATTTTCTTGCAGTCCTTCAAATAGTTCAGGGAACAATTCATTTTATACTTTCGAGATTTTCTTTTTTCAGTATACTCTTACGAACTTTATTATCCATTGTGGCAGAGCCAATGCACAACAACCAAAGCTCTTTGTAGGGATGATTCTTATCCTCATTTTTGCTGAAGCTTTGGCTCTTTACGGTCTCATTGTCGGCATTATCCTCTCTTCTCGTGCTGGCCAGTCCAGAGCAGATTAGAACAGTACCTATCAATCCAAGGTAGTTAAATTACTCTCTATCGAGAAAAGATTGATAATGTCTTTCCATGTTTTCCAAGGTAGTTTGGAGGCAACATATTTTAATGCTCGATATTGCTGTTGTGCATGGAAATTTGCTTGGCCAAAAAAGATTTGATGATTGTCGACATGTTATTTTGGTGGGATGTAGAGAAGTTGGATTTTTCTTGAATAAAGGCCGATTGGTACTTTTATGGTGGTGTACTTTAAAGGACCACATTTGATCTCTGAACTGTTGCCCATTATTTGTTTCGTTGATACTCTATTATATTGTTTTAGTGTTGTTCCAATTTCATACTCAAGGCTTAACTAACAATCATTACATATTGGTGTATGTTGTGATCTTATTAGTGTCTGTTGTTAATTTGTTCAATAGTACTTGTGCAAGTAATGCAGTTATGCAGTACATTATTCCTTTTCTTTTCATTGTGTGATTTGCCAATCGGCAAATGCAAAATTGTTGGTTCTGATCAATGAGAACCAGATTGGCTAGTATGATGGTAGGACAGAGAATGTGTCTAATTCACCCCTCTAAACTGCTTGCCAAAGAAAAGATTGGAACCAATCAAACTAGTCAAATTTGGTGTGAAAACCATTGTGAGTCGGTTAGTTTCGTTTTGAGTTGGAACTGTTGGTGGCTGAGACGAAAGGTCAAAAGTTTGTTGGAAATGGGAAAGAAAATTTCATATTCGTACAGGTTTGTATTTAAATCATATTCACTTCCATATATGCTGTTTTAATTCTTAAATCCGTCCCATTTTGAACTGTTTTGTCCATGACAATTTTTCAAAAAACTCAAAAAATTGAAAATCTCCCGACAATTGCCGCCAAGTAAGTATTTTTACGTCATAAACTTATTATTACATTATAATTTTGAAAAATTATATTTAACTTCTAAGTAATAATTATGTTTGTCATAATAAATCTTCAAAAAAGAAAAAAAAAAAAAGAAACTTAGAATACATCAGTATTTTTTTAATCAGACTAACCACAAGGATGAAAAGAGCGATGCCAGCCAATTCACCATAGCATAATCCAAAGTAAGAGCTTCAATCCACCGGCGCGGTAGACGGGGAAAACCACACTGTAATACCAGCAATGACTATTTGCTCGTCGTCCACATGAACGACAATAATGGGGGGAACCACATTATAATAATACTAGTATACTACTAATGGGTTAGCTGTTCGTCAAATCCACGGGAATTGATGACATTTTCAAATGAAGATGTAAACATTATAATTAATTAGTATTATCTATATTATATACATTTATATTAAAAATTGATTAATATTTTCACTTACTGTCTTTTACCTTTTTTTTTTT